TCTAGCCACTCTGTTTTCTTTAAAATGGGTTATTTTTCTGTACTTACAGGTGAAAAGTGTAGTTAGAGCAGATTCCCTCAAGCAGGTTTGAGAGTAGAATTCTGACAATGACCTCAGCCCAAGGGAGTTTGCACAGAAGATTCACTGAACCTCTTCCACCATCAGAATAGAATTGGAAAATGGCTTGGGTTTTCCCCCTTGTTTGTATGCTATATTTCAGTTTAAATGGAATTTAAAATAGAACGAGTAAAGCGAGTAAACCTGAAATGATGTTTTGCATTCTCAGGGAATTATGCAAAATGTAATCATAAAGATGTGTCTGTCTTATGTTTTCATATATATAGCATTTATTTATTGCTCTTTGTTTTGTTTTGGTGAGGTTAAGTCAAAGGACTGTAAGGAGCTCTGGGTTTTATTTCTTGTCTCTTAGAAATTTGCTGGAGGTCACCTTTCGTTAGTCACTTAACCTCTCTCTGCTTTACTACAAAATGGAATTTTAAGCTCAGCAGGTTTTTGAAGAGTAATTCATTAATGTTTAAAAAAATGCTTTGTGCTCCTTGGCTGGCAGGTGCTGGCGAAATAGAAATTACATTTCTGTTCTTTAAATACTAAAATTATCTAGTACTAAGGTTCTCATGTTGATTCTGATCTCCTGTAATCTGATAAATCATAAAAGGCAGGAAAAAACGGTATTTTAAGAAGCTCTTGTTTTGTAACATCTCTGTCTTTAACTTCTGGTAATGGCTATCTCTTGTTAACAGAGTGCAAATCAATTTCAAGGCTAAAGCCAAACTCTCTCATTTACGTATTGTTAACTGCTCTCTTTTCCTGTTAAACAGGAGGAAAAACTCATTAGATATGAGGCAGCTGTCTTATTAATGGAGGGGTGGGGTAAAATGTGAGGAACACTTCAGCATGTACTTCTGAACAGCTTGTTCTTCGGACAACTGCAGAGTACCAAGGCTTGTCCATTACTTCACAGGCTTCTACTTTTCCATTTATGAAATCTTGTGTTTTCATTGGCAAATATTACTGAAATGAAGAGCTCCTCTTTACTTTCATTGTAACCAAATCCCTGTCAGGCCAGAGGGATTGTATGAAATAATGTAGTTGATAATTGCCATGCATACACAGAGGGGAAAAAAAAATCTTTGCTATGACATTCCTTTATGATTAAAACTTTGTTACAAACCATGAATGAATTATAGAAAAGAAAGCTGGAAGAAATCATACTGATTAGCTGAAGGACTTGGATAAAATGACATTTCTGAGACCTTTGAATTCTAAAGGATTATTTACTGTCTGCTTACAGAACATCTTAAGTCGTTTTGCAGAAGGGAGTCAGTTTCCTGTTTAGAGCAGTGTTTTTGTAAGCTAATGAGGGCAAAGTGTGAGCCATAGGCAATGATGCTGTGATATTAGCTGTGACAGGGAGCTTGATCATAATTATCTTAACGAGGATAGGGTTAATTACAGTGGAAACTTAAAGTTTTTTCTGTTTGAATGAGACGGCGCTGAATGCGTTGTGATGTTTTGTCGGTTTGATGTGACTTTGGAAATTGCAATGGAAATCTCTTGGCAGCACTTGCTCTCCTCTGGGAGCAGAGTGTGAGCCCTGCAATGAGGTAACTGAGATGGTACCTGTGGGTGAGATAATGGGCAGCTTTCATGTCATTAGAGCAGGGAAAAGCAACCTGCAATACCCCTTAGTGATGTTTATTAGCCTTTTGAAACCAGGGAAAACAACCACTTGTCACTGCCCCTTCAGTGCTGGTTGTATAGTGGTGGTAAGATTGTGTGTTTGTTTTAATATATCAATACGGGGAGACATTTTTTCTGCTGTGAAATATGAGAAAACAGTGTAGATTTAATTTTAGACAGGTTCTCTTTCTTGGGGGATTTCCCTCTTTTTCTACTTGTCTCTTAGGGTGTTTGTCTGCTTCTTGCTGTGCTGTTTATATATACATGCTCCTCTTTTGTCATGGGCACGTATGGAAGTACTTGGTGTACATTAATATTAATATCTCACAAAAAAAATAAAAGTATTTTGTGCTGATTCTGTCTCAGCTTCTCAAAAATGCTTTCTATATACTAATTCACAGTTGCAATCCTTTCTGACCCCATATCTGCACATGGGAAATTGAGGTGCACGGAAGTTATGGGACTTACTGAAGTTTGTACCATAAAACCTATTGTGTGACGTGTACTTAAAATTTTAAAATTGTGGATTAGAACTGCTGGGCAATATTTCCTTATATATTATGATGGCATAGATTCTTGCCTTGGCTTTAGTAGCTAGTAATGCTGCATGATAGCAAGCACATTGTTTTTTCTTTTTTTTTTTTTTTAACTGTTACCAATTTTTTTTTTTTTTTGGTACTGGGTTTTTCTTCTGTTTAAGATGAAGAAATAAGAATTATGCGGATAGCAAAATAACATATGGATGTAAATGTATGTTTAATGTCTACATCCTCTCTCTGTACTGTGGCAACCACTCCAATCTCCCTGGACTCTGAATTTAGGTGATTAAATCACCAAGTGCACACTGCTCTGATGACATGAAAACAACAATTAATAAGCAACCCCCTGTGTAACATGGCTCCTTTTTAACTGAGCAGCTAATAACATTACATGGCAAAAATTTTCAAAACCAGACAGGTGTAAGGAGATTTGCGCACAATATTCTCTGCATATCTATGAAACTAGTACCCTTGTGTTCAGCTCAGGATTGTGAAAGAAAGGCTGTTTCAACTCCCTCTAGTGTTTCAAGGGCTTTTGTCCCACTTCATGGCTTGTCATTTTGTTTTATGCCTCCCCTGCAGCAGTTTTGGATGTGTGCTTTCTTCTCCATGCCAGTTGCCAACCATTTGCTGATTCTCATGATAAGAGTATTATATTTGCATAACATAACTCAGGAACAATGTGTATTTTGATGCTGACACTGTCCAGAGCCCAAGCGATGTTTTTTCACAAAGGACGCATTAACATCCCATAAGGCTCTGTGGTGTTGACAAGGAGGTGGCCTTCTCTGAACTCCTTTGGCAAGTCACAGTCTTACACTGAAATGTGAGGTTTGGAAATAATCCACTATTTATATAATAAAGAGTATTTAAGGGGAATTTGCTAAGCTAGGTTTGTCAAATAAACTGAAATGAAAACTCATAACAGCTTGATAAACTCACTGCTACTTCCTCTGTGTTATTTTGCCTTTTAAAGGTACTTGGGGGAAAACACTGTCTGAAATGTTTGCTGATCTCTCTTCTGATCTTGACTTTGGCAAAACCAAGTCTGTTGCGACCCTTTGCTGAAATAGTTTAATGCAGCATGCCAGCACAGCTCTTAGTGGTGTACAGTTTATGTAGGCTGAATCGTGTTTTTCTGAAACAGCTTGTTGAAGGCAAGTGCAAAAGATGTGACTATTACTGTGGTAGTTGTTTCAGTATGTTTATAATAGGGGCTTTTGCTTTTTCAGCTTCAGAAATTGTAACAATATCGATATGCCATACAGTGTAGGCATGGCAAATTCTCTTCAGGTCTGGCTGCCCAGCATCAAAATGGCATTAGTAATAGTTGTACTTCCCTTTCAGAAGGCCAGGTCAACAGACTCTGAGTACTTTGGAGTCCGTGCACTGAAGTATACTGTTTCAGTGTTGTGCAAATGTTACTTGAATATTCATAGTTTAGTGTACAGTACCCAGTGTAAAGGTCACAGGCTTGATTTCTTTTGGTTGTTTGAACCTTCTAACTGTGATTTATAAGTGGTCAGTAAGTTGTATCCACAAAAGCGGCACATTGTTGTTGGATGGCAGAAACCCATAACTTTGTACTAGTATTTGTGTTTTCCTCCAGTAGTAGTGCGTGTAGAACTCTCTAACAGGGACCTCGGCTGTATTTTGGTCTTTGCCAAAAGCTGGGGGGAGGGTGAGGAAATCCTCTTAGTATAAATGTCATTGGAAACTGAATAAATAGTATAGACTGCATCTCCCTTATTCATCACATTTTATAAAACAGTCAGGAGATACGGTGATGATCTTCCCACTGGTAGGCATAGTAGATCAGCTGTCAAGTCATGCAATCTCAGCATATCTTTAGGTGTCTGGTAGGTGAATGAGCTGTGAATGCGTGTCTGTGCGTATGCTCCGTATACCATGTGTCTTAGTTGATTAATGTGTGGGTTTTTTTCCGGTTGGAATGTGCAAGCATTAGGAATCAAGTTTGGAACAGATACCTTAACAAGGTACCAAAGTGTTCCTTTTAGATTTTTTCCCTGTACCTTTTTGTCAGAGAAATGAATACCTCTAGAATCTTGTTTATTTACAAGCCATCATCTGCACTTCCATGTTGTGAAATGCTTCTTTTTAAATCTGCTCTCTGCAGTTTGACCTGTGGCTTGATAGTGGGACAGTAAGTTCCAAAAAGAAAGCAAATGCCTTTTCTGTCTGGAGTAATTCTGCATTTTATTTTGCAGAGAACATTTTATTTTGTTTGCAGGAACTCAAGAAGCAAATTAAGTGGTTAATAAAAAGAAAAAAAAAAATCCCTTCTCCATTTCCTATTATTGCATGTAAGGTAACTGCTAAGAAATGATACTTGAAGTTGTATTTATTATTGTTAGCGGGGTATGATATTTCTTGGCAGAAATGATGGATGACAACTTAAATTTGTGTCCAGGGAATGAAGGTGAACTGTGACAGAGTTATTTATCTTGGGAATGGAGGTTAGGGTCAGGCGAGGCTGGGTGCCTGAAGGCACAAGACATTGACAAATTCATCCTGCAGGCCCCATATCTGAAGCCTTTTGTTTTGGATCCTGGCTACTCACTAAGTGACCCCCATCCTTCATCCTGCCAGCATGTGAAGGATGTGTTGCAGTGCCAGCACTCCCCTTGCCACTAATGCTTGTCATTCACTCTTCTGACAGGCCCAAACCAAAACTATTCCCACTCCTGAAAGGGAAGGTTAAAATATTTATTTCAGCTCATAATGGCCTCCCTGATTTAGTGGAGTATCATTTTTCCTGTTGCCTTTGTCGTTTGCAGGTCACTAGAAGGACTGAAAACATTCAGTTACTTGGAAGAGCTGATCTTGGACAACAATCTACTTGGAAATGACCTTCTGTTACCCAGGTTACCCCACCTCCATACCTTAACACTCAACAAGAACCAAATATCCTTTCAAAGAAATACCTGCAAAATGTCAAATGAGTTTTATGTGTCAGCCAAATTAAAGTATGTGAAATATAGTTCATGTGCAGACAAAGCATTCTCTTGTTTGACACCTGGAATACTTCATAGTAATTTATTATAGGTCATTCATAAATGAAATGCACCATTATATCTTCCTGTTGCTCCATTTTAGTGAGAGATCTAAGTTATGGCTCTGAAGAAATCCTTCTAATAGATAAAAGAGAGAAAGAAAATAATGTCAGTGCTACCAGTGTGCAGCAGTCCCTGTGTTCACTTGGGGTTCTGTTGCAGGCTGACCTCTAGTGGAACAGAGAGTGCAGTGAAGCCCTATTCAGTTTCTATACTTTAAATAGCTCTTAAAACATTAAAATAAATTAAAATAGGAACGTATTACCTTTCTTTATTTTAGCAAAGTCGGTAATATGCACAATTTGGTAGCTGCTGTGCAACTGCAGCTGTAAAAGCAAGTCACTGTATTCTAGGTGTTCCAACTCTCTATGAATTTGTATAAAATGCTGTCCAAATCAAGGTCTTAATACACTGAAGTGTTTAGATGGATGGTTAAGTCCATTCATAACCAATCAGTCACATCTCCATATGTCTGAAGTTAGTGCCTGCTAAGTTTATTTGGAATAAAGATTTCAGCATTTGCCCAAGTACTCTGCTGAATTGGAGCCCCTGTAAGTCTGTAGGCTTATAGATAATGGTCTGTAAAAACTAATTATCTGCAAGGGCTGAGCATGGACTTGATTATTAAATAATTTTCTCATACTTTGACCCTTCTGGAGATTTGAAGATGTTTAATACATGGTTTTACAAAAGTGAAGGGTGATCAAATTGTGGCCAAAAGGCCAAGTGAGGCCTGCAGAGTCTTAGAGCACAGACCATGAAAGCCCTCTCCTTGTGACTGCAGCAAGAGGACAAGGCTGCTCAACTGCAGGCTTTTATTACAGACAACGTAAACAGAGAGCAATTTACCTCCTACTAAAGCAAAATCCTCCTACTGAGGAGAATAAAAATAACTGCAGATTCTACGATTTCTGCACTTATTTTTGACTCCATAAATAAATAAAAACCAGCAGAGTAACTTTTATTCTTGGGGCCTTGGAAATTTGCCAAGACTGTCTCTTGAGCAGTAACAATCGTTACTGTACTAGGTATTTGGCTAGATTTCTGGTTAATGTCAGGATTCTGTAGGTTGGATTTGAGTAACTGTTTTTATTGTTTGCTGCCGCAGTCAAATCTGAACAGGGCATGCTTTGATGAAGAATGCACAATAACAGTTTTGCTGATGCTATGAGTGTGTGGTATGTCTGGTGCAGCCTATTTCCTTCTACAAAGCATGAAATATGAATTTGGCCATAAGACACAAAAATTTGTGAATATGTATGTCCTTTGGAGGGGTGTTAAGGAGGAGCTTTGCACTTGCCAAAAGATGTATTGAATAAGAACTCAGTGAACAAAATCAGAGGAAAAAAATTATCCTGTCAGTAGTATTCTTTAAAGAGTTTCTTCTGGTTTCACAGTCATACTTAAAAAACTGTTGTCAAGTGAGTATGCTCTCAAAGTCAATGATAACATGATTTGAAGGATTTGATCTATCCTGGGATTTTTTAAATTTGATCTTAAAACTATGAAGTTAGAGCTTTGAGAGTATGGAGCTACTCAGGTTATAGAAATAATGTACAAGTTTCATAGTGTGCTGCCAATAATATAATAGAGGAGTTGTAAAGCACCCAACGTATACAAACTGCCCAGAGAAGAAAAAATAACTGCTGTACATCATTAATGTTTTGAGCCCTAGGGAGTAGTGATTTCTTGTAGGGAAGATACAAGAGTCTTCAGAAGAGCAGAGACCTTCCAGATTCTTCTTTTCAATGTGGATACCACGTATGAAAAAGGTCTACTTTGAACTTGTATAAATTTTTTTTAAATGAATTATTTCTCTATAGAATTATTATTTGAAAAAGATTTCATATTAAAATATACTTTTAATATAATAATGAAACACAGTACAGGAAAGGTTGTTTAGTATATGCTAGTAGCACTAAAGATAGGACACAAGTGAGCAAAGAGTACTTATCTGAAACAAAACTTCACTTGGTGGAATATTTCCATGTATACATAAATGTGGAGAGAGAGAGATGAAAACAACATACATACATATGGAGAGAGAGAGATGAAAACAAACAAAAAGCCAAACTGACCCCTGTGAAAACTGGAATAACATGTAAACTTTAAAACTCTCATGAGAGCTTTTCTGGTATCACTTAATACTACTCTTTGCTATTTCTCTCATTTTATTTTGGCTTCACTTTGATCCAGTTCCTGTTTTGCTAGTTCTGATATGAGATTTCTACTCCTTTTACATGGTTCACTGACTGTGTGGGGTTGTATGTATAAATAATATTTGGCCCCTCTTAACATAATATCTGAATATACTGTACAAAAGGGTAAATTAATCTCCAAATCAGGTAAATACTTAGAAGAATCATCTAGTATTTTTTTGTACAAATAGAGGTTGCGAATTTTAGTTAGGGTTAAGTCACAGCCATTTTTTTCTACTAGGGGTGGAAGAAGCAAATTTAAATATTACTATTTTAAAAACAGTTTCCTGTTGTTAAACCTCAACTTTTCTGTAATGTCTAATCTGTTAAAAATACTTTAAAATGAAGTCTACGTAGCTGAAGTTCATAAAGGATAGTTATCAACATTGTGCAGTATTGGATTATATGTCTCTAACATGCTTTTTTCATGTGTATAGTATGTTTGTTTCTACAAAAATCTGTTTTCCTTTGGGAAATATATCATCTTAGTTTCTTTGTCAGACACAACAGATGGTAGAAAGCAGTACAGACTAAGATGGATGGGTGGTAGGTAGGAAGTTGCTTTTGGAGGAGGACTCATGACTGCAATTACTTGTGCTTTAACAGAAAGCCTCATTTCTCCTTTTAAGGGTGTTCAGTAGATACTAAAAATCATTCAGGAAATGTGTAAATAGATTTATTCCTCTTTGTATTATAGCAGTGTGAGGTTTCATGGCTTTTCACTGTGCTGGTCATGGGTGGTGTTACAGTGGGACTACAGTGTGTAGACATTATGATTTCCTTTATATTTCAGTCTTTTTAGTATGTGATAACATAGTTTTATAGTATATGAACATCTGTAAAATTTCCATCTGAAAATGAGATGGTGTTCACTGCCCCACTTCAAAATAGACAAGTCTGATAACGAACCAGATCTGTGATTCCCTGAATTAAAAGCCGTATTTCTTTACATATTCCAGTGAGCTGCTCATCCATTTGACATACAATCTGTATACTTCTGGACAACTGATACCAAAGTTCATTTAGAGTAAAGGTGTTGAATGTAGATGTAAAATGCAGACATTGAATCCAGATGCAAATCTAGATCCAGATTTTGAATGGTTTAGAGAAAAACCAAAATGTATCATGCCATAGAGTGGGATGTCTGGAGCTGGGCAGAATGCCCATGATGGTATGTTCATTATTTAAGGCTAGAGGAGTTATCAGTGTAGTTCAAATCTAAGGATTATATGTTCTTGAGTCTTTGAAAACAGCATGGTTTGAGGTTTCCAATTGAAAAACATACCAGTAAGTACTTCTGGTATAATCTGTGTTCACAGAGGTCTCCTCATAATGCCTAACAGTTACGGGTTTGTTTAAGCCCCAAAATATAGTTGTAATTTATTTGGCCTTTGTGCTTGTTCCTATATTGTCCTGGGGTTCTTGAAGCCCTAGAATTCCCAGTCTGACAGGAAAATCATTATGTTAAGTGCTGAGGACTTGATGTTTAGACTGAGTGAACATGTAAAGGCATAAATTGTCTTCTGTTATGTACAGATCCCTATCTCCACTAAACAAAGATCTAAGCTGAAATAGTACAGTAGTCTTCTTGCAATTACCTCTGAGCTCTACATGCCACAATTACATATTTGGCTAAACCTGAGTGTGGCTTGTTAGAGAGCTACAGTTCCTCATGAGACAAAAATCTTTCTTCTAGAATAAGGTGTACCTGAAGTAAAAATTAAGTAAAAATTAATACCTAAAGCCAAACATCTATGGAAAGGGAGGTAATCTTCAGTCCAGGCAATTCCTTATCCTGTTCTTCAGCAGTGCTTGGGCCAGTTCAACTCCAGATGTCGGAACTTTTTTTAAAAAAAGGCAAGCTGCTGCTTTATTCTTGATTATCTTTGTGTTGCCTTGGGAACCTTGAGAAACATTTGGGCAGAATAGAGTTAAAAAAAAGCATAATCAAAAAACTAACTTTGAAAGAATGGACATATTGTTTCAGAATGGACCTCTCTAGAGAACCAGAAATGTATTTGATTACAGGAATAGAAACATTCCTCCTTTTCCTCTCATTTGTATACCTGACAAAATTGCAACCTGTAACCGTGGGATGTCTGAAACACTTCTAGAAGCACCAGCAACTCCAGCTACACGGAGAAAACTAATGCTTCTCCAGAATGCAGAATGACAATTTTTTTCCCCATGTATTCAGTATGCAGGAAGCTCTCCATGAGATGACTGGACTTAGTTAATTACTACCTGTGTTGCACCTTTTCTTTCTTGAGCAAAATGGTTTTAAAGTCAGTGAACAAGGTCTTATCTCAAGGCCCTATCTCCCTACCAGATAGGGTTCAGGCCAGAACGTGGCATACAAATGACACTGTGTGACATCCTATTGCACATAGAGAAGGGGAAGATGTATACTTGCATATTGCAAGCTATTTCTGTGGTTATCCAACCTTGAAGACCTAGCACATTCTAATGGAAAAGCGTTCAGGTGGCAAAGATCTTTTCACACTGCATTCAGTGGAGAATTGGTAACTTCTGCTTCAAGGCTGTTTGCCTGTGGAATAGCTTGTGATTGCTACATCATGTTTGTGATAAATTTAATTGAAGCAAATGTTTCAGATAGAAATAAATATAGGTACATTGCTCATTTAGGACTCTG